GACAGACTGCTAGATAGAGGGGCTGAAGAGAAGAAGATCCAGGAGCAGAGTGACTCCTTCAAAGAAAAAAGAGGGAGTCCTTAGGGAGGACTCTGTGTAATTAGGTTGGAGGTTGGGATGGGGACAGGGCCCCTGCTTAATTAAGGCAGTAGGAGACTATGCTTCTGTAGAAAAGCAGTACACTGGGAATTACCCCTATGTCTATCCACATTAAACTCAGGCAAAACCACAGTTGCTTAAAGAAAGCCCCATGATGGAAGGTTGAGGGCACTGGCAAAATCAGGGAGGTCGGACACAGAGGAGGACTACTCTCAAGTCCACTGGCCTCAGGACAGATATCTGCTGAGGGAAGGGACAGAGATAACAACTGCTGCTTCACGCAGCCCAAACACATCTGGGGACACCCATACAAAAGTCAAGAAAACTCTCCAGGTTCCATTGGAGCCCCCTGAAAAAATACCCGGGTAATTTTCGACAGAAGCTAAAGGGCTCTGTGGGGCTACTGGGGAAATTATTCCTAGGAAGTCTGGAAAACCCTGTGATGGTAACAGAATTTTAAGAGCAACCTCAAATGTACACTCAGAAGAAGTAGGTGTTTCAAGGGGGAGCCCCTGAGACACTTCTACTTCATTTTGGGACCCGAATGAGATTACTAAAAATTTCCACATTTGGGGTTTCTAATGGGGTTTCCCCAAGAAAACCGCAGAACTGCCACTATCTGCAAAGGGCTGAGGTGCTTCAACTAAGCATACATCCATCTGAAGAAGGCAGATTAGGCAATAAGAGATCTACAGAAACTCAGACTACTGAGCCATACAGCTTAAAAAAGGCCAAGTTATGTTTTCTGCCCCGCTACACTGTTCATTGCTCCCAACAATGACGTTTCTATCAGGCTAAAGGATTTCTTCAGGAACAGCAATCCCAAAGTGGCCAGGCCCACCTGGGTCCCTTCCCACATTCCCATTGGAAAGCACCAGAAACACTTGTGTCCCTTCAGGGAAGGTCATGTATACAACATTCCAGGTGAGTATCACAGGGACTTTGTTTCTTAAGGAGAAACTCTAGGGGGAAGAGTCAGTTCTCTGAGGGAAGCTGCCCATTCATTAAAGGGTTTCCACCCTACAATTATGGCAGGGGAAGGGCTTTTGTGCTAGATCCTTTACTAGAGTCAAGCTATGGAAGCTGGCTATCATTATTCCATTTTACAGGCGGAGGACAAGAAAGCCGAACAGGTTCAGCATTTCATCAGGTGACTCCAGGCAGGCAATAATCTGGCTAAGGGTCTATACTTTCAGTCCGTGAAGCATCACTCCACCACTAAGTGGAGATACCTGGGCCAGGCCACCTTCTCCCCACACGCACACAGCTGTCATCTATTGGCAGGGCCTAAGAGGGTTTTAACAATGAAAAAATTGGCCGGAGCCAAGCAAGGTGGTTCATGCCTGTAATCCTGGCACTTTGGGAGGCTGAGGCAGGCGGATTACCTGAGGTCAGGAGTTTGAGACCAGCTTGATCAACATGGAGAAACCCCCGTCTCTACTAAAAATACAAAATTAGCCAGGTGTGGTGGCGCACGCCTGTAATCCCAGCTACTTGGGAGGCTGAGGCAGGAGAATCGCTTGAATCGGGGAGGCGGAAGCTGCAGTGAGCCAAGATTGCGCCACTGCACTCCAGCCTAGGCAACAAGAGTGAAACTCCGTGTCAAAAAAATCAGAAAAAAGAAAAGAAAAAGAAAAAATTGGCCTGGCGCGGCGGCTCAAGCCTGTAATCCCAGCACTTTGAGAGGCCAAGGCAGGCAGATCACCTGAGGTCAGGAGTTCGAGACCAGCCTGGCCAACATGGTGAAACCCCATCTCTACTAAAATACAAAAAATAAGCCAGGCATGATGGCACGTGCGTGTAGTGCCAGCTACTGGGGAGGCTGATACAGGGGAATCGCTTGAACCTGGGAGGCGGAGATTGCAGTCAGCCAAGATGGCGCCACTGCACTCCAGCCTGGCGACAGAGCCAGACTCCGTCTCAAAAAAAAAGCAATGAAAAAATTAATAAGCAGCTCACTCTGGGCAAAACCCTGATGCCCACTTGAAACCTGCCATGTCTGAGTTTTAGCAGTGCCAGAATCTGAGGCTACCAACACGCCTCTGGGAACCTGCTACTGCCAACTATCCTTCCCATAACTACCTGAACAAAGCCAGTTATCAGTCCAGAGTGAGCACCTTGACAGGCATGGTTTGCTTGGCCCAATAGCATCTCTGGCTTTCTGGGTCAGCCTGTCTGGGTCACTTTATTACTCCCTGGACAACTTGATAGGATGAAAAGTGTTTAGGCTTTAGAGTTATGCCAACCTCAGTGTAAATTCTCATTCAGACACTTAACCGGCTGAGGAATACCTGGGGTCAGTCACTTAGCCACAAAGAGCTTCACTGGTAATAAACTCGCCTACCTTGGAAGGTTACTGTAGAATATATGAAACAGCATGCCATTTCCATGAAGGAAGGTACCATGTGTGGCTTATGGCCGGCACCTGGAACACTGCCAGCTTCACAGTAGATGCTCAAGAAATACTGGTTGCATAAATAGAGGACCTAACACAGTGCCTAGTACTTAACAGGTACTCAATAAAGACTAATTTCCTTCCCCTTTCCTGTAGGGATGCTAAATTTAGAACACGGCCCTGAGTAGAACAGCCCATAACTCCTACCCCCAAGGATCTCCCAGCTGCAGCCTCCAGGATAATTACCCGATGCCACCACAGTAGCCAGGTGGTGCAGCTTGGAACAGGACAGTACCTGAGAGGAAGGCGGGTACCTTCTACCCAGGCTCAAAGGATCCTGAGTCAAATGTTCTTTACTCCCTGGCCTCAGGGAGAGGATGCATGCTCAGAAATGGTTTTGACATAACTAGCTCTTCCACACACATCCCCTCTGTTCACCAAGAGGAAGTGACATGTGGTATGTTGTCCAACGGGCTCTGACAATTCTTAAGCAAAGAGATGGAAGATGGAATTTCAATCCAATGGAGATCTAATAAACTTGCCCAGAGCTGCTGTGTCTAAGACCTCTTTCATATGCACCACTGGGCAGCTGGCAATTCTCTGGTAGGGGTAGCCCTCTGCAGAGGCTGGCTAGCAGACCAGGCACCTCTCCCAGACTGCCTTTTGTTTATAGCTGGCAACAACCCACCTGGTATTAGGACCACTGGCCAAAGACAATAGTCAGGCAAAGTGGGCAAGTGGCCTCAATCCCCACTTGGAGATGCCTCAGAGGGTGTGTCTGCAGTACTGGAATCCTGTTCCTCCTGTAATCAACTGAACAAATATTTGCCCCAAAAGAGAATTCAAAGCAGGAGGGAACAGGAGAGGTCACTGCACAAACCAACAGGAACTATTTAATCATTTATCCCCCCAGGGAGTTCATTTACAGAATGGCTTTCAAGTCTAGTCAGCCTTAGCTCAAGAGAACCCACCACCTTTACCTCCTCTGACCCCACCCCAGTTATCTGACCTCTATTGACTTGACCCCCTTGCCTTTTAGAAGAGGTGGCACAGAAGAGTTGAAGTTGCAAAGAAATGGGAAATGAGGGGGTGGGGTTCCAGGGCAAATTCTGGTCTCTTGCTCAGTGGTAAAGTGAAGTGCCTGCCACGCCCTAGGCCCAGCCTATAGACAGTGCATTCTTGACATTCCTGAGTCCATGGTGCATGTCCCCTTCCACCTCAGCTCCTTCAATGGATGACTTATTTTCCACAGCTTGTTGCTTTTCTGCATATTCTGAAGGGATAGAATACCTCTCATAAACCTTGCACCTCCCCTAGGTAAGGAAATAAGCAAGAAACCAGGACTGAGTTCACTGAAGAGCAAAACTTGCCCACAGTGACCACTGGTGAAGAAGCTTTCCCCACCACCTCATCCTGGCTCAGTGATGAGCAGGAGAACTCTCCCTCCCTGGAAAGGGAATTTGCTGGTGTTGGTCACTGTGCTCACATTATTGCCAAGATTTACAATACTCTGTAAGTCAAGGAGAGCTTGCCACATTTTTAGTGGAAGAAACTAAGCCTTGAGAAAGTAACCCAGCCTGTCCAAAGTCACACAGCTAGTTATACGACGGAGCTAGATACATGACAGAGTTTTAAGACAGGGACTTATACCTGCATCTGAAGTCTGTTACTAAATCTCAATGTCCCACAGAGCCCCAAAGACTGGGTTCTTGCTTTGCCAGCAAACAGTGCTTGGTGAAGAGGCCCCAGGGCTCTGGCCGGAAAGTAACAGGCAGAGCAGCTGGAGCTCCCCAACCGACCCCAGGCAACGAGGTGCAAAGTCCCCGGGCTTAATGTGTGACACAGCAAGTGCTCCACAAACAAGGAAACCATGCAGAAAGTCACACACTTTGGGGGAAATAAACTTAGGGGGCGCAGTGCAAACACAATCTGCACAGCCTACACTGCCCCAAAATCTGACAATTCTCAGCCATTCAACCCAGTGGGAACTCCTGCCTGTGGCCATGCCCTAGTCTGAGAGAAGAGTGCCTTACACGGAAACTTTGAAATAAAGGGAACTTGATTTGGAGAAGAGAAGCCCAGGATAGGACTGAGACCCCTTGGGGGAACAGATGGAGAGGTCTGTGGGTCACTGATACTCATCACCCTCCTGTGTGTGAACCATTGTATACGGTAAGGGAAACACCAAACTAATTTCCTACCCTCACAGGTTTGGGACTTAATGAACACATAGGCTATAGTTTTCTTTGCTAAGAAACTGGAACACAAGTATGGAATAGTGGAGTCATGGGGGTGACCAGGGTAAAAGATGCCTGATCTCTGAAGCACCGGGTCATTTGTATTTCCAGGGAGTTAACCTCTTGTCGTGAAATGAGGTCAGGTTTCCTCAACTATCAATGTCTCCAACAATCACCCAACCTAACAGAAAGAGATACAGAAGAAGGGCAGTTGGGGATCTCTGACCAGAGGCCAAAGAAAAGGGACACACAAGGGGCTTGGTTCTTACCCAGCCGCCGTTCTCCTGGATCCAAGGCTCTAGGTGGTCATTCAGGTAAGTGGCCATCCAAGCTGCGATCCGACTCACCAATACCTGCATCTCCTTGTCTACGCTTTCCACGCACAGTGCCCCGCCGAAGGAGAAAAAGGCCACAATGCGACCCCAGTTTACCCCATCCCGGAAGAGTTCATTCACTACCTGTTCAAAGCTCTGATATGCTGTCCCTGGGGTGATGTGGAGCTGGGATGTCAGGTCACTGAACGCCCGCCGGTACCGCAGTTCAAACTCGTCGCCTGCCTCCCTCAGCGCTTGCTTTACTGCTGCCATGGGGATCACCTCCCGGGCATCCAAACTGCTGCTGTGGCCAGTGGCTCCATTCACCGCGGGGCTGTCCACCAGGTGCCAGGATGGGTTGCCATTGATGGCACTGGGGGTCTCCATCTCCGATTCAGTCCCTTCTGGGGCCTCAGTCCTGTTCTCTTCCACATCACTAAACTGACTCCAGCTGTATCCTTTCTGGGAAAGCTTGTAGGAGAGAAAGTCAACCACCAGCTCCCGGTTGCTCTGAGACATTTTTATAATAGGGATGGGCTCAACCAGTCCATTGTCCAAAACACCTGCTCACTCACTGAGTCTGGTCTCTGGTTAGTGATTCTCTTCTAAGATCCAAAGCCAAGATAAGATTCTGAAGGGAGAGAAAGAGCTTTAGGAAAAAAAAAAATTAATATGCATGCCACTTACCCTAAACATCCCATTCCCCCTCCAGGTACCAGAACTGGTTTCTTTGTGGGTCTTACGAAGGTCTGGGTCTAGGTTCCAAGATACTTCAATTAAGTCAAATCGAAAGCACCAGTGGACTCTGAATCTCCCACCAGCCTTTTCTACCCCCCTCTTCTCCGAAATGCCTTCCTCGGAAAGTCACCCCTTGGGCAGTCCCCCCCTCACTCCCCCTCCCCCGCACCACCTACATTCAAATCCGCCTTAGGCAAAGGCAGGCAGGTGCAGCCCCCGGAAGATCTTTTGTATCACAGGTCGGGAGAGGAGGTGGCTGCGGGGATGCCGGTAACTCAGCCGGCCTCGCGGCGGCTGGCAAAAAACCCAGCTCCGGCCGGAGGGATCATGCGACCTGGCAGGCTGGGAGCCCAGAAGGCGACACAGGAATTGCGAAGCTCAGGAACCAGCCCCCTCGCTTGCTTCCTCCTCCATCGCCCGGATCGAGGGCGGCCGCTCCGCAGCCGCGGCCTCCTGCCACCCGAGAGCCCAGCCCCCTCGCTCTTGCACGCCCCTTGGCTCTCCGCCTCCTACTGGGAGCCAGGAGAACTCTCCCGGAGGTGGCTGGTATGGATTTAGTTGGTTTTTTTTTTTCCTTTCTTTTTTCTATTTAAGTACCAGCCCAGGGTGAGGTGGAGGCGTCCGAAACCCTGAAGGGACTTCTCAATGGGGTTCAAGGTTTCGGTGAGGGACGCAGGGAGGAGGAAACTGCCTCGGATCTCCGATCTGACTTTGGGAAGGCCACCCCCAGGCCTGTCTGGGAGGTTGAAGGCCGGAGACCCCCTACAAATGCCGCTGGTTTTCTTTGAATTCCCCAAAGGCCCTGAACGTGGCGGTGGGGAATTGCCGGGTCCTCCATTCCCCGCCCGGACACAATGGCCGCCGGCGCCCTGCACAAAGACTGGGTGAGGGTGAGGCGCTGGGCCTCTCCTCAGGTCAGGAAGAGGGGTCGAGGCCTGCTCGACGGCCCCACAGCTGAGACCACGTTTTCCTGGGGACAGGCCCAAAGTGGCTTCCTGGCGCCCCCGGGAGGGCTCCGGGGCCGGGGGCTGCACCTCTCCGGAGCCCAGGGTGGGCCGGCTGCGGCCTCGCGGCTTCTCGCGCTCACTAGGCCCGGTACCCGCCGAGCCACCGCCCCGTTGCTAAGCAACCGCCCTCCCCCGGGGGCGCCCCCTAGCCCTTTCTAGGAGGAGGGGCCTCGCCCCCGGCGGTCCTCCCCAGCGCCGCCAATCAGCGAGCCTAGCCGGCACGGAAGCGGGACGGCGAAGGCTCCTATTGGGCGCAGCGGCTGTCAGGCACAGGGGAGGCGGCGCTCTCACCTGTGAGCCCCGCGAGCCGTGGGGGGCCACATCCCCCTTCATCGGCCCGGTGGCTTCCAGACGCAAGAGCTCTTCGCGGCCGAGTTCCGCGCCGCGGACCCGGGCCGGCCTACCTGGCTGCCGGCCTACCTGGCTGACTGCTCGCGCCGTCTCTCCCGAACAAGTCGGCCTCAGTTTCCCCTGAAGAGACGGGGGAACTTGCAAGCTCAGTCACTTCCGGTGCTGCGGCAACGCGCGCGAGCCCGAGACGCAAAGGGAGTGCGCGCCTTGAGTGACTGGCATCAGGACCGGGGAGAGATCGCCCCCTCGCGGTAGATCCGGGGAATCGGAAGGCGCAAAAAATCAACATTTATAATCACATTTCCATGTATTCATTAATTCAGTAAGTCAGTCAGTCAGTCATCAGTCAATCAGCCTATTTCATCCGTCCGTCAGTTTATATATAGAAGAAGCATCGCCTTGTGGTTAAGCACTTTGTCTGGATTCTAACTCTGCCAGTTAGGCAAGTTTCTCAACTGCTCTGCGCTTCAATGTCCTCAATTGTAAAATGGGTAATAGTACCAACCTCTCTCGTTGAGCTATTGTGATGATTTAAAAAGTTATTAATTGTAAAGTCCATAGGACAGGCCGGGCGTGGTTACTCACGCCTGTAATCCCAGCACTTTGGGAGGCCGAGGCGGGCGGATTACCTGAGGCCTGCCCAACATGGTGAAACCCCGTCTCTACTAAAAATACAAAAAATTAGCTGGGCCTGGTGGCGCATGCTTGTAATCCCAGCTACTTGGGAGGCTGAGGCAGGAGAATCGTTTACAGGAGAATCACAGGCGTGAGCCACCGCGCCCAGCCAATTTCCTTACATCCTGAACCACACAGTGTGTTATCAAATGTTTTATCTTTGCCAATTAGATGGGTAAAAACCGAAGGCATTTTCATATTTCTTTTTTTATTATGAATGAAGTTGAGCAATTTGTCATATTTTTTAGTCTTTCTTTGGAGGGTGGATCTTGTGTTGGTGAATTCTCTTCATATTGTTTACCCCCTTTCCAGGTGGTCTTTCTGTTGAACTTTTTCCTCATTTGTTGTTGTTGTTGTTGTTTGTTTGAGACAGAGTCTTGCTCTGTTGCCCAGGCTGGAGTGCAGTGGTGCTATCTTGGCTGACTGTAAACTCTGCCCCCCAGGTTCAAGTGATTGTCCTGCCTCAGCCTCCCTAGTATCTGGGACTACAGGTGCACACCACCACGCCCAGCTAATTTTTGTATTTTTAGTAGAGACAGGGTTTCACCATTTTGGTCAGGCTGGTCTCAAACTGCTGACCTCAGGCGATCTGCCTGCCTCAGCCTCCCAAAGTGCTGGGATTATAGGCCTGAGCCACCGTGCCCGGCCTTTTTTTTTTTTTTGAGACAGGGTCTGTCTGTCACTCAGCCTGCAGTGCAATGGTGTGATCTCAGCTCACAGCAGCCTTGACCTCCCCATCCCAGGTGATCCTCCCACCTCAGCCTCCCCAGTAGTTGTGAATACAGGCTCGCACTTCCACGCCCAGCTAATTTTTTTATTTTCTGTAGAGAATGGAGTTTCCCCATGTTGCCCAGGTTGGTCTCAAACCCCTGGGCTCAAGTGATCCGTCTGTGTCAGCCTCCCAAAGTGCTGGGATTACAGGCATTAGCCACACTTAGCCCTGATTTATTATTACTATTTTTTTTTTGAGACAGAGTCTCGCTCTGTCGCCCAAGCTGGAGTACAGTGGTGCAATCTCAGCTCACTGCAGCCTCTGCCTCCGGGGTTCAAGTGATTCTCCTGCCTCAGCCTCCTGAGTAGCTGGGATTACAGGCACCTGCCACCACACCTGGCTAATTTTTGTATTTTTAGTAGAGACAGG